AAAAAACCCCGAAATTCCCACTAAAATCCGCCCAAAATTGAGCCCAAAATCCCCCAGAAATGACCCAAAATCCCCCAGAAATGACCCAAAATCCCTGAAATTCACCCCAAAACCAGCCCCGAGCCCCCTTGGCACTGCCTGGCAGTGAGACCCAAAAAAACCCCAAAAACCCCCGAAATTCCCACTAAAATCCCCCAGAATTGAGCCCTAAATCCCCCAGAAATGACCCAAAATCCCAATACATGACCCAAAATCCCCAGAAATGACCCAAAATCCCAATACATGACCCAAAATCCCCGAAATTCACCCCAAAACCAGCCCCAAGCCCCCTTGGCACCGCCTGGCAGCGAGACCCAAAAAAACCCCAAAAACCCCGAAATTCCCACTAAAATCCACCCAGAATTGAGCCCTAAATCCCCCAGAAATGACCCAAAATCCCAATACATGACCCAAAATCCCCGAAATTCACCCCAAAACCAGCCCCAAGCCCCCTTGGCACCGCCTGGCAGCGAGACCCAAAAAAACCCCAAAAAAACCCAAAAAACCCCGAAATTCCCACTAAAATCCACCCAGAATTGAGCCCTAAATCCCCCAGAAATGACCCAAAATCCCCAGAACTGACCCCAAACTCCCTGGATTTCACCCCAAACCCCCAGAATTTACCCAAAATCGGGGATTTTCACCCCAAATTTCCCCCTGCAGAGCCGCTGGTGCAGCAGGGCCTGGTGGCGTTCCCAGAATGACCCAAAATCCCCACATTTCACCCCAAATTCCCCAGAAATGACCCAAAATCCCCGGATTTCACCCCAAATCTCTGGAATTTACCCAAAATCCCCGGATTTCACCCCAATCTCCCCGCAGAGCCACTCGTGCAGCAGGGCCTGGTGGCGCGGGCGGCGGCGCTGCTGCGCTCCGAGCACGACGGGGCCCACGAGCACGGCCTGGGGACCCTCTGCAGGTCGGAGACCCCTCCCCGAATTAACCAAAAACCCCAAAAATGAACCCAAAATTAACCCAAAACCCATGAAATCTCGGGGAAAAAATTCCGAAATTTGGAGAAAAAACAGCGAAATTTGGGAGAAAATACAGCAAAATTTGGGGAAATGGAGAAAAGGGAGGGGGTGGGGACCCTCTGCAGGTCAGAGACCCCTCCCCAAATTCGCAAAATCCTGGGGAAAATGCAAAAAATTCCATTTAGAAGTCCCCAAATCCAGGGGGAAATCCTAAAATTTGGGGATCTTGGGATGGTCTGGGGAGGTTTTGGGGGATTTTGGGGTAGTTTTGGGCTGTTTTGGGGGGGATTTTTTGGGAGATTTTTGGATAGTTTTTGGGTGATTTTTGGGGAATTTTGGGCAACTTTGTGGCAGATTTTTGGGGGGTTTGGGGGCAGATTTTGGGGAGATTTTTGGGCGATTTTGGGGCATTTTTTGGTGTGATTTTTGGGCTGTTTTGGCTGATTTTTGGGTGAGTTTTTGCTCTCCATGTTGAATTTTCCCAAAATCCCGGTTTCTGTCCCCAGCCTGGCGTCGGGCAGCCCCGAGGGGCTCCACCCGTGCCGGGACCCCGCTGGGGAGGGGATTTTGGGGGATTTTTGGGCGATTTTTTGGTGGTTTTGGAGCAGTTTTTTGGGGGATTTTGGGGCAGTTTTTTGGGGGGATTTTGGGAGGATTTTTTGGGGATTTTTGGGTAGTTTTTGAGGTGGTTTTTTTGGGCAATTTGTGGGGGATTTTTGGGTGATTTTGGGGCTGTTTTGGGTGATTTTTGGCTGATTTTTTTGGGTGATTTCAGGGCAGTTTTTTGGGTGATTTTTTTGGTGTTTTTGGGGCAGATTTTGGGAGGATTTTTGGGTAATTTTTGGGTGATTTTTGAGTGATTTTTGAGCGATTTTGAGGTGATTTTTGGACTTTTGGGTGGGTTTTGGGTGATTTTGGGACAGTTTTTTGGGGGGATTCTGGAATTTTGGAGTAAATCCTTGGGGTATTAGGGATGAAAATTCCTGGAATTTTGGGGTAAATTCTCAGGATTTTGGGGGGTGAAAATTCCTGGAGTTTTGGGGCAAATCCTTGAGGTTTTGGGGGGGAAATTCAGGAGATTTTGGGGTAAATCCTTGGGATTTTGGGGGTGAAAATTCCTGGAATTTTGGGGTAAATCCTTGGGATTTTGGGAGTGAAAATTTCTGGAATTTTGGAGTAAATCCTTGGGGTATTAGGGATGAAAATTCCTGGAATTTTGGGGTAAATCCTCAGGATTTTGGGGGGCAAAATTCCTGGAATTTTGGAGTAAATTCTTGGGATTTTGGGAGTGAAAATTCCTGGAATTTTGGGGTAAATCCTCAGGATTTTGGGGGTGAAAATTTCTGGAATTTTGGGGTGAATCCTTGGGGTATTAGGAATGAAAATTCCTGGAATTTTGGGGTAAATCCTCAGGATCTTGGGGGGGGAAATTCCTGGAGTTTTGGGGCAAATCCTTGAGGTTTTGGGGAGTAAATTCAGGAGATTTTGGGGGGTAGAAATTCATGGGATTTGGGCGGGGGAAATTCCTGGAATTTTAGGGCAAATCCCAAATATTTTGGGGGTGGGAAAGCCCAAGATTTTGGGGCAAATCCCGAGGATTTTGGGGGTGGAAGTTCACAGGATTTGGAGGGGGAATTTGTGGGAATTTTGGGGCAAATCCTCAGGATTTTGGGGGGGAAAGTTCCTGGAATTTTGGGGTGAATCCTTGGGATTTTGGGAGTGAAAATTTCTGGAATTTTGGAGTAAATCCTTGGGGTATTAGGAATGAAAATTCCTGGAATTTTGGGGTAAATCCTCAGGATTTTGGGGGGCAAAATTCCTGGAATTTTGGAGTAAATTCTTGGGATTTTGGGAGTGAAAATTCCTGGAATTTTGGGGTATATTCCTCAGGATTTTGGGGGGGAAAATTCCTGGAATTTTGGGGCAAATCCTTGGGGTTTTGGGGGTGAAAATTCCTGGAATTTTGGGGCAAATCCTTGAGGTTTTGGAGAGTAAATTCAGGAGATTTTGGGGGGTAGAAATTCATGGGATTTGGGCGGGGGAAATTCCTGGAATTTTAGGGCAAATCCCAAATATTTTAGGGGTGGGAAAGCCCAAGATTTTGGGGCAAATCCCGAGGATTTTGGGGGTGGAAGTTCACAGGATTTGGAGGGGAAATTTGTGGGAATTTTGGGGCAAATCCTCAGGATTTTGGGGGGGGGATGTCCCTGGGATTTTGGGGAGAATCTGGGGGATTTCAGGGTAGAAACCCTGGAGATTTTGGGGTAAAAACCTTCGAGGTTTTGGGGGTGAATCCTTGGGGTATTAGGAATGAAAATTCCTGGAATTTTGGGGTAAATCCTCAGGATCTTGGGGGGGGAAATTCCTGGAGTTTTGGGGCAAATCCTTGAGGTTTTGGGGAGTAAATTCAGGAGATTTTGGGGGGTAGAAATTCATGGGATTTGGGCGGGGGAAATTCCTGGAATTTTAGGGCAAATCCCAAATATTTTGGGGGTGGGAAAGCCCAAGATTTTGGGGCAAATCCCGAGGATTTTGGGGGTGGAAGTTCACAGGATTTGGAGGGGAAATTTGTGGGAATTTTGGGGCAAATCCTCAGGATTTTGGGGGGGGGATGTCCCTGGGATTTTGGGGAGAATCTGGGGGATTTCAGGGTAGAAACCCTGGAGATTTTGGGGTAAAAACCCTGGAGGTTTTGGGGTAAAAACTGGAGATTTTGGGGTAAATTCCCGGGATTTTAACGCTGACCCCTCCCCACAGGAGGAGCTGGAATTCTGCGAGCGGCTGCTGCAGCTCTGCTTCGAGACCCCCCCCGAAGAATCCACCATGGACCGATGACCCCAAAACCCCCCAAAATTCCCCCAAAAATCCCCTCCTGGCACCCCAAAAAATCCCAAAAACCCCCAGGCACTGCGAGCCCCCCGAGCCGGGGGGGAATAAACGCTCCGGGCCCGACCCTGGCTGAGTTTTGGGGCTAAAAAGGGGCTGGGGCCGCAATCGGCGCCGTCATTAAGGAAAAAATGGGGGAAAAAATCGAAATTTCCGCAAATTCAGCACCGGGAGCGCGGACAGCGCGGGGCGGGGCTATGCTAATGAGGAGGCGTGGTTATTCTAATACAAATTGTGGGTGTGGCTATGCTTATTTGTGGATGTGGTTATGCTAATGAGATGTGCGCGTGGTTTTTGTCGGTATCTCCCTGGCAACCGCGTCCGGGTGGGCGTGGCTTCCCCACCTCTCTCACTTCTCATTGGCCCGCCGCCGTTTCCCGCCGCCGTTCTCGCTGCTGATTGGTCAGCGGCGTTGCCGGGGCTCCGTGAGGGCTCCGTGAGGGATCCGTGAGGGCTCGGCCATGGCGGCGGCGCTGGAGGAGGCCGTGGGCACCGTGTGCTGGTGGGGGCTGTCCCCGGCCATCGATCTCCGCCTGCACCGTGAGCCCCGCGCCCCCCGCGCCCTCCCGCTGTTACCGGAACCGCTCCCGGTGCTCCCGGTGACCGCGGCCCCCTCACGGTGCCCGCAGTGCCGCCGGGAGCGGAGGCCTCGGTGCTGCTGGTGGGGGCGGCCGAGGGCCGGCACCTGCTGATGACGGCGGCCCGGGCCCGCCGGGGGCCCCCCCGCGACATCACGGTACCGGCAACCGCGAGGGGACACCGGGAGGGGCACCGGGACGGGGCGAAGGCCCCGGTGTTACCGGGGTGAAGGCCCCGGTGTTACCGGCGCTCTCCCGCAGCTCTTCGTGGCCGAGCAGAGCCCCGAGCCCGTGGCTCGCCAGCTGCTGTTCCTGCTGCTGGCGCTGGAGGCACCGGAGCGGCCCAGAGCCGCAGGTACGGCACCCCCGGTAACCCCCGGTAACCTCTGGGGTGTCCCCAAGGCTTCCCCGGTGTCCCCTCTATCCCTTGTGTCCCCTCCCGCTGTCCCAGCTGTCCCCGGTAATCCCCCCGGTGTCCCTGATGTCCCTCCCGGTACCTCCCGGTGTCCCTGCTGTCCCCTCCCGGTGTCTCCGGTACCCCCGTGTCTCCCCGGTGTTCCCCGGTAACCGCCGGTGTCCCCCCCTGGTGTCCCCGGTGTCCCTCCCGGTGTCCCCCCAGTGTCCCCCGGTAACCCCTGGTGTCCTCCCGGTGTCCCCGGGCCCTCCCGGTTCTCCCGGTGTCCCCCCTGTCCCCCCCGGTGTCCCCCGGTCCCCGCCGGTAACCCCCGGTGTCCCTGCCGCTAACTCCCGGTGTCCCCCCAGTGTCCCCGGTGTCCTCCCTCTGTCCTTCCCCGGTACGCCGCGGTGTCCCTGCTGTCCCCTCACGGTACTCACGGTACTCCCGGTGTCTCTCCGGTGTCCCCGGTGTGTCCCCGGTGCCGCAGGCCGCGCGGCCGCGCTGCTGGAGCTGCTGGGCTCGGGCTCGCTGGGGCCGCGCACGGCGGCGCTGCTGCGGGGGGCGGCGGGGCGCCTGCGCCGCTGGCTGCGGCACCAACCGGACCGGGACCGGGAACCGGACCGGGACCCGGACCGGGACCCGAACGGGCCCGCCGACCTGCGCCTCATGAAGGTCAGAACCGGCCGGGACCGGGACCGGGAATGGGAGGGACCGGGGAGCGGGACCGGACCGGGCAGAGGGGCTGGGAGGAACCGGACCGGGCCGGGACCGGAACAGGACCGGACCGGGGAGTGGGACTGGGCGGGACCGGGACCGGGGAGCGGGGCTGGACACCGAGACTGGCCGGTACCGGCTTCTGGGGACACCGGGGCTGGCCGGTACCGGGTGCCGGGACACCGGGGCTATCCGGTACCGGGTGCCCCGTCACTGGTTCTGTCCGGTACTGAGGTTTTGGGGTCCCGATGCTGGCGGTACCGGGTCCCAGTGCTGGCGGTACCGGGTCCCGGTGCTGTCTCGGGGTCCCGGCGCTGCCGGTACCGGGTCCCGGCGCTGTCTCGGGGTCCCGGCGCTGTCTCGGGGTCCCGGCGCTGGGGGCTGGCCGGTACCGGGTGCTGGGACACCGGGGCTATCCGGTACCGGGTGCCCCGTCACTGGTTCTGTCCGGTGCTGAGGTTTTGGGGTCCCGGCGCTGCCGGTACCGGGTCCCGGCGCTGTCTCGGGGTCCCGGCGCTGCCGGTACCGGGCTGTCTCCCCCGCAGTGCCGGGACCGGAACGCGCTCGAGGCCGTTCTGCAGCGCTGGGAGCGGGCGCTGCCGGGCCCGGGGCCGGTACCGGAGGCCGAACCGGGCCGGGATTCGGTACCGGAGGCCGAGGCGGGGCCGGTACCGGGGCCCCCGGGCTGGGACCGGCGGCTGCGGCGGCGCCTCGGGGCCCGGTACGAGTCGCGGGCGGCGGTGGCGGACTGGGAGCTGCGGATGGAGCTGCACCCGCGCGGGGTAACGGCACACCGGGGACACCGGGAGGGGACACCGGGGGGACAGCGGGGATGTCCCGGTAAATACCGGACGGGGACACCGGGGAAGCCTTGGGGACATCCCGGGGCACCGGGGGGGGACACGGGGGACACCGGGGGGACACCAGGGGGACACTGGGGACATCCCGGGGCACCGGGGGGACACCGGAGGGGGACACGGGGATACCGGAGGGTTCCGGGAGGGGACACGGGGACACCGGGAGGCGCTGGGGACATCCCGGGACACCGGGGGGACACCGGGAGGGGACCCGGGGACCCCCCTTGGGATTCTCCCGGTTCCGCAGCCCCGGCGTCCCCGGGCGGGGGGCTTCGAGCCCTGGGGGGGGCCCGGGGAGCCCCCGGCCCACGCGCGCTTCCGCCGGGCGCCCCCGCGCTGAGACCCCTCCCCAAATTACCCCTAAAATCAGCCCCCAAATTCCCCTCCTGGTGCCCGAGACCCCTCCCCAAATTTTCTTTCCAGTGCCTGAGACCCCTCCCCAAATTCCCCCCAAAATCAGCCCCCAAATCCCCCCGAAATTCCCCTTCCTGTGCCCGAGACCCCTCCCCAAATTAGCCTTTCAGGCCTTGAGACCCCTCCTCGAATTACCCCCCAAAATC